TTCAGAATTCGTCGTCATTTTAATGTCTTCTCGTTCTTTGTATCCTATTCAGAAGGATGAGTGAGTAAGCACTGGCAAGTTTCTAACATGACTTTTTATCTGTCTGTCGTTTATCTTTCCACGTTTTCTCCTCTTGCTCTCCTGCCTCGTCTTCGGCTACAAAGGGTGGAGCACACAAACGCAAGGTTTGCAAACACATCGTCAGGGGTGAACAAATGTTTACACTCCGGGCATTTCCTCCCACAGTAGGAATTGTTTATGGCGATTACAGTTCGTCTGGGCGGTGGGGTCGGGGGTCACTGCTGTCGGTAGATGTAACCATCTTCCACGTTTCGAAAATGTGGTACATGAAACAATGCGACGGATTGTATTTCGTTATATAATTTTTTTTCCCCCTCGCATTCCGACGTCGAAACTCAACTGCGGTGTCACTTAAAAAATGTCCAAAGCTCGTTCACATTTCACTATAAAGAAGTAAGTGTCGTCACCTTCAAGCTTTGTCTGTTTTATTCACGGGAAAGGAACCAGCCACTGGACTGGAGGCTGGTTAAGATTTAAGGGCGTTTTGAACGTGGTACCTAACAGAGATAATTTCTAATCCCTGTCTGGAATCGAACCTCGGCCGTCCATACGACAGTTAAGTCACTTTCCTGGCTTCAGAAAAAGAAATCGCTGTTTTAGAGTAAAAATGTTTATTCTCGAATATGAACCGCGTTCCTTCGTTTTTATCGTCTTTGACGTCTGGTAAAGAAAGACGTGGGTTTGCAGGAAGACGGTAAAATCTTGGAATTAAGAACCTGACCTTTTTTTAAAAAAGAAAAATTGGTCATATTTTGTAAATCAGGGTCTGACTAAACTGGGATCAGATTTTAAATAAAACGGAGTTTAAATCTGTGGTTCAGGACATCTGCACTTAATCCAGTGGCCACTGTACGTTGACTTGCTTAAAGATCGTAGTATTTACAACAAAAAAATCCGTATGAAGGAGAAATTTATGGAGTTATCTGGCTGGGTAGGGGAACGAGGGGCGATTGAGTACTTCTACATATTGGAGTGGGAACAATATACTACAGACTACAGGCAGCCATTCCGTCCATATACTGACATCACTTCTTCCTGCGAGGGTCATTCTGGTGGGACACTGCTCTCTTGTTACGACTTAACGCAGGATTTATGTGTAATTTTGTGTTAGAGCAATCATGGCTGCAATCTGACGTATCAAAATTAAATTGTTTATAACGAAATTAATTGCCCTCATTAGTGGATTTTATACATAAAGCACGAAAAATAGGTCACGAACGTCGTTTTGCAGATAGTGGTTTTAGTCGTCAGTAAGTCGTAAGTCGTACAAGGAAACAGTATTCTGTTGTGGGGAAAAGTGTTTTTTGTTTGTTTTTTCGATGTTGTGAGAAAAATTGCTTCGTATAACGTCTGTGGTTTATTTTTCTCGGAGAATTCGTCAAAACTGTTTCCGCGTTTAATCAGGAAGAGCTGAATGTTTGGGTGCATAAATGGAAGTACTGCCCAGGTTATCTCATGTGGAGTGAACTGACATATTTTGAATTCGATAAGAAATCGTGAATATTTGTTAATTTTCTCTCACCGAAATGTCACGGAGAACTGAATCGACGTCATCGAATCGATATTTGGACGTTATATTCAAGAACGTCATATACACTACTCCAACATGGAACAAGAAAGGTGAGTTCTGCTTCGAATTGCAGTTAAATTGGAGGAGATGTGATATCGAATTTTGGCCGTAGACAGACGTCCTTCCACCCCCCACCCCCCAATTTCATATTAACCTCTACGTTTGAATTCTGTTTGGCTATTTAAACCTCGATGCTTATAATAAATTACGTACAATATTTTTATTTTCCGTCTATACACAAACTTAAAATAATGTTGTTTAAAATTACTTAAAATTATAACATTCTCAGTAGATACTGCATCTTGTTAAATTTTAAGTTTGTGTATAGACGGAAAATAAAAATATTGTATCAATAAAACACAAACATGACGCAATTAAGATATAAAAAAAAAATTACGTATAATAATTCAGTTCCTACCTCAAAGAAAACAACGCGTGTTCGTTACAAAGATTATTTGGTTGATGTTCAGGAAAAATAATTGTTCTTTATTCTCAGAATCTTACAGATCCCATGAACTTCAGTTACTGAGTTTTAAATTAATCGTCATTCTTATCGTACAAATTTTCACTGACTTTGAAGCCCTATCGTAAAATGGAAGTTTTCCAGGTAAAAATTAGGTCAGATACAAAGTGTTCCACGTGCGAATTTAAAATAATAAATAACTACAGTAATTTGTGCATATTTCAATATAGTTTATACCTGAGCATGTAGAAACGCTATGGCAAGGTAATTTGTAATTGATAAAAATAACGAAAATTCGCTATTAGGTTTCAAAAAATAGGTCCATGACGAATCTCTCAGCTCTTGGGTCTGTATACGCGTTTCATTTGTCATTCCCATGAAAAGATGGAGTATTGACCTAGTTCACTGGGCAAAAAGCAATCACGTAACCCAAATGACCTCAATAGACTAACTAAACTGACTTCACAGAGCAAGGTCCTTCTTCGGAAGCTGTAGAATTCATCAGTTAATCAATATAGTACTCGCCATCCGTACAAATATGTTCACAAGAGCCTTCCCAACTGCCACAGGTCCCTTAACCGCGGCCAGATCAATCCAATCCACACTCCCAGTGAGCTATTCCCTTCAAGAATACCAACCAAAATTTTGAACGAATTTCTTATCTCGCCATGCGCGTTACAAGCAACGCCCATTCGATCCTCCTTGATGTGTCATAAAAATATTTTGAAGGCATTAGAAGTTACGAGGCTTTTCATTTTACACTCCATCCCTTCCAAGTCTCCTAACCACCATGTTCTCGAACACCCTCAACTCTTTTCTCCCCTTAAGGCGAGAAAGCAAATTTCACTCTCAAGAAATTAACTGAATGCAGTATAAAAATCAGCATATTTGCTATCACGAAACGTCCGCATGTAATGTCACTCTGAATAATAATCAATGACACATGGTAATTAAATAAATACGTAAGTACCAAACTTTTCGCATCGGTGAAAATCCCTGTAAAAAAAACAACGGAAAATGTAAAGCAGAGCTTCACGAAAGACACGAAATCAAATGAGTTAAATAACATATTATTTAGTTTTCTACGTAAAAATACAGCCTAGTCAGAGTCACCGCGTATGTATTTATGTACTTCCGGTTTCCCTTCGAGCTTCGCATGTTGCTTATTCATACGGCATTGAGCCAACCCTTTGAATTCCATGAAGAAGACATCGCGCTTATAAAACTGGCCCTTCTGAATTTACTAATAGCCTGGCATAGACTGATTCCGCCCACCTTCGACTATCCTCTTCAACAGAAATAATTATCCTTAAAAGAAATATCTAAAAGGATAAAAAAAATTCGGCCATTTAAAACACAATGGTAACTATATATACCACTAATTTAAAACTCAGTAACTGAAGTTCATGGGATCTGTAAGATTCTGAGAATAAAGAACAATTATTTTTCCTGAACATCAACCAAATAATCTTTGTAACGAACACGCGTTGTTTTCTTTGAGGTAGGAACTGAATTATTATACGTAATTTTTTTTTTATATCTTAATTGCGTCATGTTTGTGTTTTATTGATACAATATTTTTATTTTCCGTCTATACACAAACTTAAAATAATGTTGTTTAAAATTACTTAAAATTATAACATTCTCAGTAGATACTGCATCTTGTTAAATTTTAAGTTTGTGTATAGACGGAAAATAAAAATATTGTATCAATAAAACACAAACATGACGCAATTAAGATATAAAAAAAAAATTACGTATAATAATTCAGTTCCTACCTCAAAGAAAACAACGCGTGTTCGTTACAAAGATTATTTGGTTGATGTTCAGGAAAAATAATTGTTCTTTATTCTCAGAATCTTACAGATCCCATGAACTTCAGTTACTGAGTTTTAAATTAGTGGTATATATAGTTACCATTGTGTTTTAAATGGCCGAATTTTTTTTATCCTTTTAGATATTTCTTTTAAGGATAATTATTTCTGTTGAAGAGGATAGTCGAAGGTGGGCGGAATCAGTCTATGCCAGGCTATTAGTAAATTCAGAAGGGCCAGTTTTATAAGCGCGATGTCTTCTTCATGGAATTCAAAGGGTTGGCTCAATGCCGTATGAATAAGCAACATGCGAAGCTCGAAGGGAAACCGGAAGTACATAAATACATACGCGGTGACTCTGACTAGGCTGTATTTTTACGTAGAAAACTAAATAATATGTTATTTAACTCATTTGATTTCGTGTCTTTCGTGAAGCTCTGCTTTACATTTTCCGTTGTTTTTTTTACAGGGATTTTCACCGATGCGAAAAGTTTGGTACTTACGTATTTATTTAATTACCATGTGTCATTGATTATTATTCAGAGTGACATTACATGCGGACGTTTCGTGATAGCAAATATGCTGATTTTTATACTGCATTCAGTTAATTTCTTGAGAGTGAAATTTGCTTTCTCGCCTTAAGGGGAGAAAAGAGTTGAGGGTGTTCGAGAACATGGTGGTTAGGAGACTTGGAAGGGATGGAGTGTAAAATGAAAAGCCTCGTAACTTCTAATGCCTTCAAAATATTTTTATGACACATCAAGGAGGATCGAATGGGCGTTGCTTGTAACGCGCATGGCGAGATAAGAAATTCGTTCAAAATTTTGGTTGGTATTCTTGAAGGGAATAGCTCACTGGGAGTGTGGATTGGATTGATCTGGCCGCGGTTAAGGGACCTGTGGCAGTTGGGAAGGCTCTTGTGAACATATTTGTACGGATGGCGAGTACTATATTGATTAACTGATGAATTCTACAGCTTCCGAAGAAGGACCTTGCTCTGTGAAGTCAGTTTAGTTAGTCTATTGAGGTCATTTGGGTTACGTGATTGCTTTTTGCCCAGTGAACTAGGTCAATACTCCATCTTTTCATGGGAATGACAAATGAAACGCGTATACAGACCCAAGAGCTGAGAGATTCGTCATGGACCTATTTTTTGAAACCTAATAGCGAATTTTCGTTATTTTTATCAATTACAAATTACCTTGCCATAGCGTTTCTACATGCTCAGGTATAAACTATATTGAAATATGCACAAATTACTGTAGTTATTTATTATTTTAAATTCGCACGTGGAACACTTTGTATCTGACCTAATTTTTACCTGGAAAACTTCCATTTTACGATAGGGCTTCAAAGTCAGTGAAAATTTGTACGATAAGAATGACGATTTTTTTTTATAAAAAAAATCCTTCCGTTCCGCACGCACCGATGTCAAATGTATCTAACAACGCACAGTGTGAACCCCCAATACCAAATTTAATCCAAAACCGTTGAATAGTTTAGAAGTTTAGCCCAGAGGATTGTCAGTGACTCCCATTCATATCCCTGAACGGGGCTCGTGTTAATGGGGCTTGGTCATAGGAGCGTTCAGCTGCTTCACAGACAATATTAAAAAGTAAAGCGACGGACAACACTGTTACTGGGGAGGGGGTCTTACAGCCGAGGGTGGCGAATTTATGCGGACCGGTTAATAAGGTCACGTTTTAGTGGTTTGTAAAAAGAATCTTTAAGCGTCTCGGTCTGATTCCAGTTTCTTTGTACAATAGGTTCCTTTTCTGTCGGTCAGTTCGGTAGAGAGGCGAAGGACATTTAATTTCTATGTAAAGTTGTGAGTAAAGATTGTTCTTGGAGCTTCCGAATTCACAAGTACCACGAACTTGCTGTTCGGTTAATATTCGTAAGTGACTGAGTAGCTATATTAAGTCACTATTCATGGCATTTGTACACTTTTTTTTTGTGGAGTTAAGATTTAATTTGTACTAACATGAGTGTTTCTCACCAACGCGCATGTGAGACGTTAAATAGGCTATTAAACTGTTTTAATTGAAAAAGATATGGATGCAGGTTCGTTATAATTTATAAAATTAATGGTTTTTTTTCAGAACAGGTATTTTCTTCTCGGCCGTGCACTTAAAAGAACGGGGTTTAATTCTCTGCAGCTAAAGTTTTTCATAGTCGTCACTTGCATCAGTGGGTTAAATTAGACTCTAGAACTTTAACAGCTTTCATTTTGAAGTTTCTTATTTTTATCTTTGGTTTATTTAACGATGTTTTCAATTTATTAAGTTACATAACGTTGAATCATAATATTATTAGTGAATAATTAATTGGAAAGGCGAGATTTTTTTTGGACTGCTGAAGAAAATTCAGAATATCCTATCTGCTGATCGAACCAAGGACACAATTACGTATCCTCAGCATCAAATTAAATGTGTACAGGTGGGTCTTGGGCGTCTGGTGTTATGCAATGGAAAATTCAAGAGGTAAACACCGAAATTTCCTCCCCGATGAACGGAGTGAACGGGTCTCTTCTGTTAGGTAAAATCATGTCCTCCACACGATCTACAAGACGCCCTAGTGAGAACGTAGGCATTTGTTTTCCCCCTTAAAATGTTTCAGTTCGTGAGGTTGGCAAAAGTTATAAATTAATGGTGACTGCATTTAATATTTCATTTATGTATACATACTTTGTTTTACGTCGTTTATGTAATTAGATTCCGAACGTTCATTGCCGCTACCAGAGAGGTCAGTCCGTTTGTATTGGACCAGAACA